GCACCGTACCAGGTTATTCGCTGCCGTCGCCGTCGCCGGCGCGTCCGGGAAAAGGTCCACAATGAGCGTATTCATGACGCTAAACGACCCCGTAATCGTGAGCCCGATCACGCCCTGTAGCACCAAAGGTGCCGCGACGCCGCCGACCTCGTAATGCAGCACCCACCCGTAAGCCGTCAGCGCCGCGAGCCCGACGGCGACGGCCGGATAAACGGGCTGCAGGCGGGCCCTTTCGATGGGGAATTTCAGGAGGTCGTCGCCCCGGCGGCGGTCGATTGCGAAGCCGATTTGGGAGGCGATTCGGCGGTAGTTCCAGTCGAGGACGTAGCCCTGGCCGAGGCTGGCGACGACGCACCCCGCGCCGTAGGGGAGGTAGCAGAGGCCGAGCTCGAGGTCGTTGAAGTGGTAGATTTCGCGGAAGAGGGTGCCGAGGGTGGCGGCTACGCAGATGAAGGCTACGTAGAGGAGGCTGTTGTAAGCAAGGACGAGCGCCATTTCTTTTTCGAATATGATTTTGACGGAGCGGATTGGGTTTGGGAAGCGGAGTTTGCGGTGAGGGTGTGCTGGTATGGATTCGGTTTGAGAAAGAGCACCGGTGTCCTGGTGTCTACAGTTACGGCGGCGGATGAGGTCGATTAGAGGCCGGTTCCACGACTGAGCCGGGATAGAGCCGTTGCCCACGACACCACGACAGGTCTCTGGGACGAAGAGGGCGTACGGGACAAGCCAGAGGCTGATGAGCACGACGCAAAACCAAAAGATGGACGCCCAGCCAAAGTACTGCGTCAAGACGCCTCCCAGGACGGGACCGATGGTGGGGCCGACGTTGATGCCCGCCCCGACGATGCCCATATACTTGCCCCGCTCCGAGCTGACCGAGATATCAGCCACCATGGCGAACCCCAGCGCAATAGCACCGCTGCTCCCGCCGCTCTGCAGCATGCGGAGGACGAGGAGGGCGGCGTAGTCGCGCTGCAGGGCGAGGCCGACGCAGGCGACGAGGTAAATGCTGAAAGCGACGAGAAAGGCCGGGCGGCGGCCGGCCATGTCGCCGAAGTCGCCAAAGAGCGTCGGGGAGATGGCCTGGAGGATCATGTAGGAGGTGACTGTAAGGTTGACGAGGGCGACGGAGACGTGGAGGTCGTCTGCGATGGGGGCCAGGACCGGGTAGTAGATGTTTGCGGACATGGGCGGGACGAAGCAGGCGACGGACGCCATGAAGGCTACCCAGCGCTTTGTGGAGGGGGGGAAGACGCTGTAGGCTGGGCCGCTGGGCTGGCGGGTGAGGTTTTCGGGGTCGATGTTTTGGTCGTGGGCCGGGTTGGGGTCTTCGGTCGAGGAGACTTCATTATGTGATTTCTCGTTGGCGAGTTCTGGGTCGCTTGGTATTGAGGCCTGGATGATGGATGGACTTGGGGGTGTTTGTGATGTTTCTAGGTCTGCTTGATTCCTTTCCAAGTCCACTTGGCCCATGTTGTTCGACTCATCGTGTCCCATAGTTGTCAAGAGAGCATCTCCGTACGAAGCAAAGATACAGAGAGATGATAACCTGGGAGAAGAGCAGAGATTGAAGCTAGACGTTACTATCTTCAGACAATTGCTTGATAGTGTCCTGCAACGTTTCTCAGAGATATGGCCAAGACTATTTTGAAGTAATACAAAACCGACAACATGAGCAACGAAACACTACAAGAATGGATGATCTTGCGTGCCTACGTAGATTTTGCAGGTAGCCCATATCCGTAAGCGGGACCATCTTGCCGCCCTGCCGCATACCTACCCTGCTTTACAACAATGATGTTATTTCCGCTACCAGATCGGCCTCCACCACTCGGCCTCTGACCGACCGCGATTAACATGCAGCTTTCATGATTCGCCCGGACCGGGCCAGACCTCCACAAAAGCCTGCCCATTTTGGGCAGCTGGAGTCGTTCAGCATTGACTGAAGCGGCTTCTGTGATGCCTCTATCGGTGCGGTATCGGGCGAGATGATCGCAGCTAGAAAAGATCCATTGGTGGGTGTTCCTCGATAAATGACACTGGGAGTTTCATTATTGCGCCTTGAGTCTGAGTCGCTTGACTGTAGCATAGAGCAAAACGACACCGATATCGGACATCTTCACTCGAAGCATTGAGCCCTTTTCTACATTTTCCGTTCTTGAATGTGGTCCTCTTTCTCAAACGGGATGTAAAAGTGGTTGATGGACTTCTCAATTGGCGTTGACTGAGCTTCGAGCTCGCCATTGTGGAGGTGTTGGCTCGTGCGCCCTGCCGACGCCGTTGCCGACCTGCCGATGCAGCCCCGAACTCTGACTGTCAACTTGCTTGGCTAATCCTTACAGTCACAAGCCACACTAGCCCCAAATCCGAGGGGATAAGTGTGGCTAGTGAGACCTGAGCACCGAAGACACGTCATTGGAGAACAGCTTTCCAGATCTCCAGCTGGCAGCGTGGATGTGACCACAGGGTTGAACGCCGTGATATCTCGGATTCCGGTGCACTATGCTCCTCAACACCACGTAATTTCTTCCGGATTGAAACATTCCTCTCTTCCAGCCGTACGGCAAAGTGCGATACGACCCCGAAAATGGACATTACACCAGTATTCAACGACCTTCTGCGGAAGCGCAATGCGCCCATCGTCACCGAAAAGAAGCTCAGTCTCGAAGCGATTGACGGCTTCCTCAAGGAGGCTTACAGAATAGTCAGTCTCTACCAACCTTCCCTCTATATGTTTGAGAACTGTATGTCTCTGACACTTTGACACCCAGAACTCCCACATCACAAACCTCCACAACGAACTCAAAGATGTCCGACAAGCCTATCTCTCAACAGCGCAACCGCGCAAAACACACATCCACGCTGCCGCTGCTCAACAACAACGGCACCTAACGGACCGCGACCGCGAAGAAGTTGACGCAAACGCAAAACAGATGCTCCGCGAGCTCAACGCGAGCATCACAGCCCTCAACGAAGCGGAGCTCCTCCGCCGCGAGACCGAAACGGCCGTCATCCGCAAAAAGTACGCCAGCAGGCTCGGTGCCCTCGGCGCCTGGGCCGCCGCCAGCGACAATGACAACAACAGCAGCAAGGGCAAGACGGCGGAGCACGCGGCGGCCGAGGCACGCGCCAGGACGATTGAGCAGCACCGCGACGAGGTGATTCAGAGTCTGCGGTTGGGACTGCAGCGGTGCGGGAGGACGCAGCAGGATATGATGGAGGTGAGGCTCACGAGGGAGATGGAGAAGAATAGGAGTGTTTTGGCGAAGGCGGGCGGCGGCGGGGCGATGCCTGAGCTGGGCGGGTTTTATGAGTCCATGGCGAAGACTGCTGCGACCAGCAAGGGGGCGACGGGCAAGGCTGCTTTGCCGCCCGGGGATGAGGGTGCGTCATCGTCGTATGACCCGCGAGAGGGTCTCACGGATGAGCAGATTCAGATGTTTGAGAAAGGAAATCAGGATATGCTGCAGCATTACAACAGCACGCTGGACAAAGTCAGGTATGTTTTAACATGGCCGGCATTGTACACCATAAATCGTCCATGACTTTCTTTGGCAGACACAGCTAACGATGGGTTTCATAGGACGGCGGAGAAGTCGCTACTCGAGATCGCAGAACTGCAGACGTTACTGGTGGGCAACTTGGCGACGCAATCAGCGCATATCGAGCAGCTCGTGGCGGACTCGGAAAACATTACGGCGGATGTGGGCGGCGGTAACAAGCAGCTGAAGAAGGCGACGCAGCGACCGAGCGCGGCGAGGTATACCTTTTTCGCGTCGGCGGGGTTGTGCACGTTTTTGATTCTTTGGGACTTGATTATCTAGTTGTGAGGCTGTGCCCATTGGGCTGAATAGAAGCTTGGCTGGGAATTTGCCCAGTTTGGCGATACAATACCATCATAACCATTGTCTTAGCCGTACTACGCACCACATATCGTGGTCTGCGAAATTGCACCTTTGGTTTTCAGTCTCGTGGATTTGTGCACTTTTGACCTATTGAGGTAGCATTCCAAGTATTCCATGGCTCGAATCACAGGCTGATGTTTCTATGGTGGGAGGTTGGGCTGACAGACATGTGAAAGTTTAGAGAGCAGCGTCACATGCTGGGTCGTTAAAAAGCCTGGGCCAAGTGCAGGTGACCTTTTAGTTGCAAGCCATGTAAATCCAGCGACCAGAGCATAGTAGTACCGGTGCCTTGGTCCATGGGCGCTAGGATCATTTGATGATTTGGTCTGCCTTGCGCGCTTGCCCACTCAAGCAAGCTACATGTTCACTTTATCACAGTGAAGAAGCGTTGTTGCGGTGTGCTCTCCGGGGCGGCTTGTACGGAGCTGGGATGCCGGGGGAGCTTCGGCGAGTGTCTGGGCAAGCAGGCAAGCTTCTGATTGGCGCTGCTAACGACATTGAACATGCGAAACGGTTCTCGGTACCTGCGGTGTTTTGGAAGGGGGGAAGCGTTGCAATACCGAGGAGTGGTCTCATCTTTGCGGTTGTACTTGGAGTTGCCGAGCTCTAAATTTGTGCTGTCCATAAAACCCTCGTAGTGTAGGTAGGTATTGATTCCAAGGCAAGTTGTGAGTCTCCAAATAGGTGGTGTAAGATAAAGGAAGATGAATGTGCGTCTGTCAAGCTGCGGTCCAATACAGACAAGATGGGATGATCTCGTTACTTTAGTCTGAAGTGGCACGGCAATGCACTCCATCCGATATCAACGGTTCAGAAGGAATCCAAGAAGATAAACCGGGATGAACTTCAATCGATACGGAGTACACTACCAGACTAAGCAAACGTCGAGTCGTGATGACTATCTGGCAGCAAATGGGAGAGTTTGGAGAGTCATGGGGTTGAGCCCGAGACCTCGGCCCGCCCTCCACGGGTGACCTCACAAGCGCAATTGGGAAAGGCTGGGGCAAATGGGGAAGCAGCGGGGAGCCGACAGCTAGAGGATAAAGAGAAGGCGCGCTCCTTCCCCCCGCCGATGCACAAGACACTGAAAGGAAGGTACTGCCACTGCTGCTGCTGCCAAACCTGGAAAACAACGAAACGAAATCCCCGACCATTGCCCGACACTTCGCCGATTTCTTCACTTTCGGTATCTCTCTGCATCACCGTAAACTTGAACTTGCTACGATACAACCTGGCCTCATCATCCCGGGTGACCAGCAAAAAGACAGAATCAATCTATTTTCGCAGACAAATCCGCCTATCCGCACCCGATTCGAGCAAGGCGTTACGAAATACCTTCCTCGACCTGACTATCCTGCCCGCACCTGGTGGATCCCATTTGATACAACTTTGCCCCAAAACCCAACCTTGGACGTGTCACAGTGGTACTTTTTCTCCGTCACCAGGTTCCATTCAAACTCGATTGCTTGCTGTTTCTCGAGTTTCTTCTGCCACCTATTCAAGCCTCAGACAGCCAGAATTTCCGAACCACAAAAAATACGCCCTCCGATCGTCCGAGCCAAAACATCACTATCTCAGCCCTTTCATCCAGGATTCCACTACTCCGTACCTAACCCAACCCCCCGTATCCAAGCCGTTGCTCTGCCGTACAGTGTACCCTGCGCCCTGCATCTGTACATACCTACCTACCTAGTGTCTGTATTCTGCAGCCCGCCCGTCCGCTGCAACCGCATCAACCTTCTTGTACGTTTCTGCAACTCCCGGAGCGCCGCGCTGTGAGGACGAGACACTCGGCCAGACCCAAGCGTTGCCGTACGGAGTACAGTACCTTAGTTAACACGTCCAGGTCTTTCTGGGATAGCTTAGCTCCCGCACCAACCAAAGCCCCCGTCTTTCATCCCCCAGGTAAGCAGTTGCAGCCCGTTTGTCCCTCACCTCAGCAACATGTCATCTTGCGGCTTGCCCTGTTCCTTGACGTCCTAGACGTTTCCCGCCTTAGCTGGAAGTCCCCCCGGCTACGGAGGCGCATGTCCGCTTCCCCCCTTCCCCTTCCCCGTCCAACCTCGAGGCGTCGGGTGACACGGTGACCCCTCCGGGAGCCCGGGCAGAAGGGGCACCTCTCACCCCAAGGTCCCATGGTCCATGGAAGGTCCCAAAACACCCCGACCACACCGGTGACCCAGCTCCCATTCTCACTGCCCACCTGGGTCAGGTACGGAGTACTTGGGTCACCTTAGAGACTCAGACGCCTGGACAAACGGTTGGCGCCTGTAATCGCAAAGCTTCCCATTCGCCCGTCTAAATCGTACCACTATTTGATGCCATAATAATAACCACCCCCAGACAGACCCTTTCCTCCCCCCCCGCCTCTGACTCGTTCCCCCTTCTCACGAAAGCTCCGACGCTGAAAATGCCCGGTGATTCCTCCTCTTCTTCATCAGCTTCGGCCTCTTCCTCTTCTTCCTCTTCTCCCCAGAACAACTCTACTCTTTCGAGAATACGCAACATCGCATCACACATCATGGCGCCTGTTTCAACCACGAACTTCCCCGCCAGCACGGTGCCGCAAGCTCCTGAGGATCCCCTCTTTGGCTTGATGGCCGCCTACAGGGCAGACCAGAGCAAGGACAAGGTCGATTTGGTGGGGTGAACCCTTGATTCATCAAGCAGCAGCAGCAGCTAGCTGTCTTGATGGTGTTCTGAGCTCTTTTGCTAACCATCCCAGGGAATTGGAGCTTACCGCGATGACAATGCGAAGCCTTGGGTTCTCCCCGTAGTCAAGAAGGTGCGTCATCATTCCCTTCTTTTGATTTCCCCCCTTCACCTTGTTGTGTGAATGCCCTCCGGAGACAGACCCTGCTTGCGGCCCCTCCGGCTCCAGCAAGGCAAAGCCCGGCTGCGTCACGCATCGGCGGCACACCAGCTGATGTGCAGCATCGTCCTATTTTTGATGAGCTTTCCCCTCATCGCATCCCACTTCCTCCACTTTTGGCCTGCCCCTTACAAGTTACCCACCCCCGCTAACCCCGCCATGATGCAACTTTACAGGCCGACGAGATCCTCCGCAACGATCCCGAACTCAACCACGAATATGCTCCCATCGCCGGTATTCCCCAGTTCACCGGCAAGGCCAACGAGCTAATGCTCGGCGCCGACTCGCCCGCCATCCGCGAGAAGCGCACCTCCTCCGTCCAGACGATTTCCGGCACCGGTGCCGTCCATCTCGGCGCACTCTTCCTTGCAAAGTTCTACAAGGGCAACCGCACAGTCTACATCTCCAACCCGACATGGGCCAACCACAACCAGATCTTTGGCAATGTCGGTCTGCCCATCGCCCAATACCCCTACTTCTCCAAGGAGACAAAGGGCCTCGACTTTGAGGGCCTCAAGTCTACCCTGTCCTCCGCTCCCGAGCGTTCCATCATCCTTCTCCACGCCTGCGCTCACAACCCCACCGGCGTTGACCCGACGCAAGAGCAGTGGAAGGAGATTGCTGCTCTGATGCGCCAGAAGAACCACTTCCCCTTCTTCGACTGCGCCTACCAGGGCTTCGCCTCCGGCAACCTCGCCCAGGATGCCTGGGCTGTGCGCTACTTCATCGAGCAGGGCTTCGAGCTCCTCATCGCCCAGAGTTTCGCAAAGAACTTTGGACTCTACGGCGAGCGCGCCGGATGCTTCCACTTCGTCACCGCCCCGGCCTCCGAAGCCGCCGAGACCACACAACGCATCGCTTCCCAGCTCGCCATCCTCCAGCGTTCCGAGATCTCAAACCCTCCATTGTACGGCGCCCGCGTCGCAGCCACCGTGCTCAACGACCCCGCGCTCTTCGCTGAGTGGGAGGACAACCTGCGCACCATGTCCGGCCGCATCATCGAGATGCGCAAGGTCCTGCGCGCCAAGCTCGAGGAGCTCGGTACCCCCGGCACCTGGAACCACATCACCGACCAGATCGGCATGTTCAGCTTCACCGGCCTGTCAGAGACGCAGGTACTGAAGCTGCGCGAGGACGCCCACGTGTACATGACCAAGAACGGCCGCATCAGCATGGCTGGTCTCAACACGAGGAATGTCGAGTACTTTGCCAAGGCGGTTGACAAGGTTGTTCGTGAGACGAAATGAGATTGCGATTTCTTATGACGTTTTGTATGAATGTAAATGGGTATACACGGGGACCGGATATGTCCCCACGCAATGGTGTGGCCAAACCGCTGGCAGGAAGTGGAAAGAGGGAAAGAAAAAAATCCTTAGATTTCCTAGCACTGGAGTAATGACCATCACCTCTTGTTCATGATGCATATTGCTATACTCTATTACTTATTTGATGAATTGTGTGATCTGTGAGACTACTGTCATCATCTACATAAATCCATCTGTTACTACAATTGAGAAGTGGTCAGTATATTGAGGGCTACCAACCTGAGTCTGAGTACCGATACCTGTCAATCGGAACTAAGTCATCCGGAACGTCCATGGCTTCCCTGTCTTAAATCTATTCAAGACCAACTTGGGGATGAAGGAAATATCAGAAGGTAAGGTGAGACGAGGTGAAGCAGAGCTCTTTTCCTTTCTTACCCTGCTCCTCCTTCCTCATCTTCTCTGCTTGCCCTTTCATCCTCCTTACCTCTCAGTCTCCATTCTATCTTTTATCATGATCGTCTATCTCTCATGAATCCGTTATCTCTTGTCTCTCGTTCTAGATCATCTCCCTCTCTAATTTTATTTTACCTCTGTTTTGTGTTCTCCATTATCCCCATCATTGAACTTCCTTCATGCCTTGTCATTTCTTTCCGATCACCCCTGTCTTTAAATTTCCATCATTCATGGCACTGGGTTTCCATCATCTCTATCTTCGAGTTTTCATTATCTATATCACTGAGTTATGTTTTCATCATCTCCGTCGTTCACTCTATCGTTTATGCTACTGAACTTCCATCATCTCTGAGAATGATGACCCTCTCCATCGCTCTAACGCAACCAGGAGACTTTTTGAGATGGTGATAAAGCACGACGCTACAAACTCCCACTCGAGTAGTAGTAGCGATGACCCTAACCTTGACCATGAGCACCCCCGCCAGAAGTCTTGCTATAACAAGGAGGACGACGATAGTAGTGGAAATGGTGGCGCAGATAGTAAGACTGGTGAGTCTGGAGAGTCTGGTGGAGAAGATGGTGAGACTGGTGAGGGTGGAGACGTAATGGATGTCGATGAGGCAGTTGGCGACGGTGACGATGCCGGTAAACAGAACAAGCCTGCCCTGTCATCCATTCTCCATCATCTTTATCTATCATTTCCAACCTCTCATTCTCTCCCTTCTAACCCCTCTTTCTCTCTTTACCTTTTTGATCTCTCTTTCATCCTCCCCTCTCCCCTCGTCGTAAGCACTCACGAATACGAAGACGCAAGCTAGTATTAGCTAGACCCTAGTCTTAACCCACGCCGTTACCCAAAGGTTCATTGGACCTGCATCGGGACTCAACATCCAAAGGCCGCTATCGACATCAGTAGGTTGGGTTTGATTTGTTCAATTAGAGATAGGCGGGCGCCGCGCTGCGGTAGAACCAAACGTCTCGATCGAAGCTCTCGTCGCAGCTATTATGGATCGTGAAGATGGGGTCTGTGGAGGATCGCTTTATATACGCTAGTACTCGAAGTTCTCTTGACCCGATACCAGCACTCACTCTTCGAAAGTCACTATCGATATCAGTAGCTTGGATTTGACATCTTCAGCAAGCGGCGGGTGGGCGCCGCACTGCTGTAGAGCCAAATATCTTGATAGAAACGCTCGTCATGGCTACTGTAGTTGTGAAGATGGGGTCCGTGGATCATCGCTTTATTGACGATAGTGCTTGAGATGCTATGGACCCGCGCCGCACTCAATATCTCGGAGATCACTATCGATCTCCGTGGCCTGAGTTTAACATCTTTAACAAGATGTTATCGGGCACCGGTGCCGCTGAGGAGTGGAACGTCCCAACAAAGCCTCTCGTCGCAGCCATTATGGTTGTAAAGACAGGGTTCGTGGAGTGTTGCTTTTACTTCAAAAGAGGCTGTGAGAGTGGGGTGCAGGCTTCACTTTGACATTCTCCTGAGGTTGAGGTATTGTGATTGCGTGTTGTAAAGACAAGGTTTGTGAGAGGTTGCCTTGTTGTCCTTGACCATGGTCGTCGTCGTCGTCGTCAGTCGTTGTGGTGTTGACAGACGCCTAGGAGGCAAAACACCCCTCACTACCATAGCATGTTGAAGGTTCCGGCACGAACGTCCGCTCCAAACAGCTTGCTTTCCCTAGCAATTAAGCTTATCCCAAGCCCTCCGGTATCAAGCAGGTCGGGTTCTCAGTCCATGCCTTCCTTCTGCAATTCTCATCGAATATCGAAATCGTTCGGATGGGGGGGGGGGGGTGGCGCTCGAGCCGGGAGTACTCGGGTTGACATAAAGAATCATGTATCGGACTGGATCTTCTTCCTCCTCTTTCCCCACTTTGAAGCTTTCACATAGCCAAGCCAGATAGCCAAGCAACAAGCAGAAAAAACGAAGACCAAGATCCTTCCGGAGTTCAAGAGATCAAAAAAGCAGAAGCTGGGAGAGGGACGAAATTCAGGGACGACGTCCCGATTATCTAGTCCCAATCCCTCGTGGCAATCGGCCCTTCTTTCTGGGCTTTACGGTTAACGGGCGTACCCCACCACCCTTATCCCCCCGGTCTCCCGCGATGCCGGTAGAGGGATTGGGGGGAGGAGCAGGGTGTGGTCTTTTGTTTAACCGCCTTACCCTGCTGCTGCTAGGATTCAAAAACCCATTGTGGAAGTGTTTGTATGTTGTTTTGTGGGGGAGATGGAGTATGTCGAGGACCTTTGTTTGTCCTCTATTCGGTTTGGACGGAGGGCTTCTTGTCCGCGTGATGTCCCGTCTGGCTTCTTACCAGGGGCTCATTGCTGTATGCAAAGGATGGAAAAGACTTAATACAAAATGGCCTGCTAAGGCTCCTGTGATCGGGCGTACACTAAAAACGTGATAACACCAGTCATATCCTGGGATCTCGAGCTCATTCAGGATGGTTGACAGCATCCGGCTTTAATCCAATGAACTGCCGTTGACGGTTCCCCGCAAAGCCTCACCCTCCCTCCGGGTCAAGATCGACGTCGTGGCTCAAGGGTAATTCCTAGGGCACGGGGGAATTGGAGAAGAGGTTGTCACCCCGCCGCATCCTCTGGATACTAGTATTTGATATTTACCCGGCTAGGTCGACCATGGAATCTTGCATCCTCGCGTTCCAATAGCTTCGACACTCCGATTCGCCGCTGACACGCGGGTTCCGTCTCCAAGTCCGAGAAGGCCAGTCGGTACTCGGTATGAATTAGAATAGTACTGTAATATGTAGGGTGGGGGGTATTCCATGACTCCCAAGTTGTCAACCGCAACGTTGGGATGAACATGAACAATGGGGTCGGACCCGATGCAATGACAAGTGAGGACAGTGTGTGGTGGGCAGAATTTTGAATACACAAGGCGTAGGAACTTCGCCAATTGCATTGAAATAAATGAACACACAGACAAACGCTTGCCCGGCCGGCGGGAGAGGTAAGCACGACTTCCAACCCCAAGAACATGTGGTGACACGACAGGTCGATTCCTCTTATGCAGGAAGGTTCTTTTCGTCCGCATCCTACACAGCTCGCCTTGAATAGACGAACTGTGCCGCGTTACTGCGCTGAAAATCCTCTCGGCATCAGTCATGAGCACCTGCAATGTGGTTGGAGTAGCCCGACCTTCATCGGGACGGTTGAACTGCGCAATAAAAGCATTGGATACACCATGTTCCGACGGAACCCTCTCACTCTAAAGACACATACTTCTAGGAAGGCGTTCATGGTTCATAGCATCCGTAGACTTATCGTCGTAGATTCTAAGAGATTGAATTGCCTAGACTCTCCACTCCTCGGACTTCCGTCATGACCTCGGCACAGGATACGAAATCTCGCTTCTGGCCATCCCGAATGACCGAATACGGTAAAGGCGCCAACCTCCCATCCACCCCCATCCTCTGATAAAGTCACCGCCAAGCCAAGCACCTCGAGAAAACAAACCTGATGCTGATCCTGTTCGTTCGTTTTCCGTAAGCAACAGGCGAAAAACTAACCAATAAACAGCCTTCTTGGCTCCTGGCCTTTCCCCAAACCATCCAAGTTGTTCTAGCGGAGATGCGGAGTTGAACTCCCACAATCCCTCCAAACACCCCATGCCCATAAATTAAGCAGCGAACCATCTGACCAAAGCCCATGGGGAAAAAGCAAAGACCATGTGGGGGAGTGAAAGCTTTCCCCGCATATCATTGAGTAGTCGTTGCTCCATTGTTTGAGATGAACGTGGTTTCCTCACTGGATGGATAAATGCAAACAGCAGTTCAATTCAACCCCAACCCCGACCTCCTGGGCACTTCTTGGCGAGAAGCATGGCCCCCGGCTCTTTGTGAGCGTGTCTCCGATGCAACAGTCATCTCATTCGGACCTTCTGCCACCTGGGATCCTGGCCGGCGCCGCTTCCCTCTCCCGCTGTCCCGCCTTAGCTCTTCCTCTCGTTCTCCCTCTGCCGGAAACTGCCCATGTGTTGATAGGTCGGACGTATTCAAACATAGGGTAAAACATTCACGGCAGTGTGTAGGTATATAAAATACCCGGGTGGACCTCGTCGGAAGTGAGAGGCAAGAGAGTCTACGGATACACTAGAGAAGCGTTGGAGTTGTGCGCCCTCGAATAAACACACACACCCTTGAACGCCCAGGGACAAGGACTCGGTAACATATACTTCCGTCTACTGGATAGAGAACTACTTATTCCTTATCCCATCCTCATCAACCGTCACCGTTTAGACCTTTTGACGCGTCGCTGAGACTCTCTTGACCGGTCTACCGTCTTCTTCCGCAAGCCGCAGTTCATTCCCTCACAATGGTCCAGATCAAGCGCGCTCAGGAGACCGGGGCGGCGGACCCAATCCTGACCCGCATCTCAGAGGAGGACAGGGTGCCGTGGTACCAGAAGCCGAACCTGCGATACCTCTACCTGATGCTCTTCCCAACGTGCATGGGTATCGAGTTGACGTCGGGTTTCGATTCGCAAATGATCAATGCGTTGCAGATTGTGCCATCATGGAAAGAGTGTAAGTTGGTCCAGTGAATACGCTGAGGAACTCAAATTGACAAGATTTGATAGACTTTGGAGATCCACAGGGCAGTTTGAAGGGTATCATCGCCGCTGCGTACTCCCTCGGCGCCATTCTGTCTCTTCCCTTTATCCCCATTGTGAACGACAGGTTTGGACGAAGATGGTCCATCTTTGGCGGCAGCTTGGTCATGGTTGTTGGAGCCCTCATCCAGGGTTTCTCTCAGCATGGTACGTTTGGCCGTCTTATCGCCCTCACTGTACTCGAATGAAGACTAACTTTGAGAAGTTGGCATGTACATTGTTGCCCGCATGATTCTCGGCTTTGGTATCCCGACTTGTATCGTCTCCGGCTCTTCTCTCATTGGTGAATTGAGTTATCCCAAGGAACGTCCTGTTCTGACCTCTCTGTAAGTATTTAAGTCTTTGTGGGACGGAGTGAGTAGACTGATGGATTTCCAGCTTCAACGTCGCGTACTTCGTTGGTCAAATCGTGGCCGCTGGTATCTGCTTCGGCACCAACAACATCGCAAGCAACTGGGCGTGGAGAATCCCCTCTCTCCTTCAGATTTGCCCTTCTCTCTTGCAAATCACCTTTGTCTTGTAAGTGGTCTCCCAAAGGAACATGTAACCGCGTGCTTCTTCAATAAATCTGACGTATCATGCTTCCAGCTTCCTTCCAGAGAGTCCCCGATGGCTCATCACTAGAGACCGTAGCGAAGAAGCACATGACATCCTCATCAAGTACCATGCCGAGGGCGACCGCGATTCCGAGTTCGTCAAGGCCGAGATGGCGCAGATGAAGACCGTCATCACCCTAGAGATGGAAGCTTCCAAGCAGTCGTGGATGGACCTTCTCAACACGGCGGGTATGCGCCGCCGTGCTCTCATCTCTTCCATGCTTGGTCTATTTACCCAGTGGTCCGGCAACACACTCATCTCGTAAGTATTTCGATGCTGTTCGTGAATCTTCATTTGAGCAATGTCTAACATGGGGTGTGTAGATACTACTTGGGTGACCTGCTCCAGATGATCGGCTTGACCGACTCCACCGTCAAGCAAAAGATCAACCTCGGCATCGCCGGCTGGTCCCTCGTCTGCGGCTTCACCGTAGCCATGCTCGTGCGAACCTTCCGCCGTCGCGTCATGTACCTAGCTTGCACAGTCTCACTGGTATGTCTCTTCCCACACTTCATCTCAATCTCCCACTCGCTCACAATCTCCTCAGCTCCTCTGCTACATCAGCTGGACAATCTCAATGGAACGCGCCGTCCACGCCCTCGATAACGACTACAAGAACCAGTCCGCCTCCGTCGCGACAATCTTCTTCATCTTCATGTACTCGCCCTGCTACAACATCGGCTACAACGCCCTAACGTACACTTACCTCGTCGAGCTGTGGCCCTACGCCCTGCGATCGCGCGGTATCTCGCTTTTCCAGCTCTTTGGCAGGCTGGCCGGCTTCTTCACGACCTTCGTCAACCCCATTGGCATCAAGGAGGCGTCGTGGAGATATCTCATCAGCTATTGCGTCTGGCTTGCCTTCGAGGTCGTGTTTGTGTACTTTATGTTCCCCGAGACCGCGGGGCGTACGCTTGAGGAGCTGGCTTTCTGTAAGTTTCTCAATGGCCCCGCTTGGTGCGTAATCTTGTTGCAAAGATGGCTGACAAGTGTGCTTTACCAGTGTTTGAGGACAAGGCTCTTGCCGATCAGGCTGTTGGTGCTGTTGAGAAGGTTATCCATCACGATGACATGGACACTATTGGTGAGGTCAAGAGCGGAGGCGGCAACACTGAAGTCGTTGAGAATGTTGGTGCCAAATCGAGGGTCTAATCATTGGACGCCTAGTCTAGCGGAGCGACGTGAAGGAAGTTCAAGTAGCGTCAAACTGAACAGGTACTTAGAGTACCACAAAAGACAAAAGAGTCAACATCATCTATTCTTATCCTCCAATTTCATTGTTCTGACTGCCAACCAATGAGGCGTTGGTGTAACACTCTATAGCTTTGTCAGTCTATCTACACTGGAACAGCGTTAAGGTGTCGCCCCCGCTCAGGCATCATCCGCAGCGTGCTTCATCAACTGACTGGGGGTGTAGAGAATGAAGAGACGACTGGCTGGGTTGTATCACAGCTGATGGCGACGTAAAAGTACGTATCAGAGGCTCTTCCACTGCGGGGCTCTCCTTTTGTGTGGCCATGTTGATTATGCAGCGGCACAGTCGGTGGTGTTCGCAAGATCAGGCTGCAGATGACAGCCTAATGGTCAAGCCTACCCCTCAGTAATTTCGCTCGAAGTCCTCCCTCTTCAACTTTCTCTGTGAAGAAAATTGCGTTGCGAGGTCAACAGCGATCTAACCAAGCACCATGTCCGTCCGACAGAAGTCATGGGGCCTTCCTGTAAGGCCCCCGGATCGATCAGCAACGATGAAAGCCGACGAGAACGAGCTTGAACAGCAGAGTACCGAAGCTGCTGTCAAATACTGGTTATCAGAGGCAGGGAAGCTCCAGCCAGAGCAGCGCCTCCTTTTCCAGCGAGGCGCGGAAGCGGACAGCTACGAAGACTATGTGTCGGACTTGACCCGCGCAGTCCAGAATACCACCAACTCGAGCAAAGTTTCCAGGCTCTCGAGGAAGATGAAGCCCGTTTGCGCACTGGTCAAGTCAGTCGCGCCGCTGGTAGCCTCTGCGGACCAGGGCAGCCCATTCCCGCCATCTCTGGTCATCGGAGGCATCACTTGCATTTTGTCGGCCAGCAACCGCGTGGACGATTACCAAAGCAAAGTCATTGAGAAGATGGAGGGAGTGGTTGACGAGATTGATTCTATCAACCAATATCGCAGAGAAGGGATTTTCCAGGATGATCCTGGAATCAAGGCATGCGAACTGAACCTTGCCACTGATATTTTTCGATTCTGCGTGAGAGTGGCACCCGTTTTCTACGATGAAAAGGGGAAGGAAAGAAATGGTCTTTCCGTGGCTATGAAAATGCAATTCAAGGACTTCGACACCAAGTTTGGCGACATCATGGCACATTTCAAACAACACCTTCGTGCTCTGGAGAATAGGAGAGGCTTGATCAACAATCGATGGACCAAAGAAACACATTTCGGGGTCAAGGAAATGGGACTCTTCATGGGGGAAAACTCGCAGGACAAGAAGGAAGCGATGGAAGAAAAGCTGCGACAGCAAAAGCAAGATGAGGACAACGAAAGAGGTGAAGTATCGTCCACAATTCTGCAATTGCTTTATACTGACTACCTGGCAGCGCAAAGACGGAAAGAGTTGCTCGACTGGCTTCCCTTCATTGACTTTGGAGAATTTCACGACAACGCATTTGAGAGAAGTGTCGATGGTACAGGAGACTGGCTCACCAAGAACAACAACTACAAGGCATGGAGTGACAGTTCATCGTCATCTATGCTGTGGATTCGTGGGAAGCACGGCTCTGGGAAATCCCACTTGGCGTCCTGTATCATCGAAAAGCTATTATTGGAGGCAAAGACTGCTCTGGGCAATGCTGTAGCATTCGTCTATTGTACCACGACCCAGTCAAAGACCGAAATGACACTCAACAACCTCTTGGGCTCCCTTCTGAGGCAGATTTGTAGACAGCTTCCACCAAGTCAGGATGTCAAAGACTTGATCTCGAGAGAAGATTACAGCAGCAAAGAATCCCCTCGGCGAAGCGATCTCAAGAGTGGCATTCTGAAAGCTATCTCGGCATGTCACGCGAGTTCAATCATAGTCGATGGTCTTGATGAATGCAGCAAACTGAACGACAGCCATTTCAAGGAGTTTTGCAATTTCATTGCTAGTCTGGTAGAAAGTTCAGGTACTGTCACAAAGATCATAGTACTGAGCAGACCAAATTACGGCGAGATCGACAAGATTATGGAAAATGTCTCCTATATCATAGATGTCGATACGGGCGCTAATCATGACGACATTGAGAAGTTTGTGTCACAGACTGTCTCCGAAATAAATCCAGAGCCCTCGCAAGAAGAACTGAATGATTTTGAAGAAATCAAGAGCAAACTCGTCAACAACGCAGCAGGAATGTTCTTGTATGTTCGTTTGAAGGTGCGAGATTTTGGAGATCTCGGAAATGCCGAAGACATCAGAGCCTCTTTGGAAGACACCGTGGAAGACTTAAACGATTTGTACGGACATGCCATCAACTTAATACTTGAGAAGCGTTCGCCCTTCAGAGAAAGAGCCCTGATGGCACTCCTCTGGATCACAAACTCTCGCCGCCCATTGTCGAAGATGGAGTTACTCGAAGCTTTATCGCTCAAGCTCAAGCGAAATAGCATCAAAAGCAGCCAGAGGTTAAAGAGCGACTACCAAATCTGCAGACAATGTGCGGATCTCATTACTGAGACTGGGGGCTTTTACTACCTCATTCATGGATCACTCGAAGATTATCTGCTCTCAAATTCTGTCGGCCTTTCTGAGTATCGCGCACTACAATCCCAGGCTCACGATATCATAGCCGAGGCTTGCCTCAGCTATCTCAACTTTGACGACTTCCAGAAGAATCGGGCGCGAGCGCCAAGCGAATTGTTTCAGTTACAACAGCAGTATCCCCTGCTGCACTACGCATCGTCTCAATGGGGAGGCCATTACAAACAAGCGAGCTTACTCGGAGACAGAGGGTCTGAAATCAGAAAGCTTTCTCTAAAGCTTTTGTCGGTAGATAGCCTTGTCCATTTATGTCTCAAGGTAATCAATTTGCATGAACTTGCTCCGGAAGATCTCACCCCCGTCGAGGCTTACTTCGACTGGAAGCCAACCGCAGTTCATCTCATCTGCGCACTCGACCTGAGAAGTCTGGTTGAATCTATACCGCGCTGTGTAGATCTCATTGATCATTTCGATCATATAGGATGGGCTCCAATCCAATATGCTGTGCACTTCAACAGTAAGGATATGTGCATTTGGATATTGGAAACTATTCAAGAGAGACAGGACAAGCAAGCGCTGATCGACGAGCTTGTTGGCGACAAATATTGTTTGCTCCATTATGTAGTAGATCGGAATTGGGACGATGTGTTGCGGCACTTGCTTTCCTTCAACTGCAATCCAGATGTACGGGACAACTATGGCGAAACACCTTTGCATTGCGCAATACAGTCTGGCTGCCATCGTTCTTTTGAGATGCTACTTGCGGCGGGCGCAGATGTTACCATCGGATCAGAGGATGGCACAACACCTCTAATCGAAGCCGTTGGTAGTGGTGGGCTGAAGTTTGTCAAAGAAATACTCGACAAAATCACAGATATGACAAGGAGTCCTACCATAGCTTCTGCTCTCAACCGGCAGACTCAACCCGACGATGTTCAGAGGCTTGAGCTTATCAACCACAGTCGGCACAATGGCGAAAATGCCTTTTTGCTCGGCTGCGCACTAGGGTCTGGATCTGTAGTGAAAATGCTTCTCGAACACGGCGCAGATATAAAGGCTTTGAATGCCGCACGTAAAGGCGAAACCGGACTACACGTAGCCTGCACTCACGGCCAATGCGACGTTATTGACATTTTGCTATCTAGGCACGAAGCAATTGACTTGATAAACGCACAAGATCTTGAGGGGTGTACGCCTCTCCACAATACCGTTTACCGTCGAGATCTTGCAGTTGCATCTAAACTACTGCAACATGGAGCACAACCTGATCTCTTCAACGTACATCGCTTTACGCCTTTAGCAGCATCAATCCTTTCAGGGGCCTATGACTTTGCCGAGGCCCTCATTGCCGACTACAGAGTGAACGCCCTATCGGGGCCTGACAACAATACCGCACTACACTGTGCAGCTCGCGTTGGATGGTCACGAATTCTACAAATCATCCCGAATATGTCAATATGGTCTCAAACTCAGCACAAGAAACATACGCCTCTCCATGTGGCAGCTGAGAAAAGTCAAATTGAGTTCATGGCAGAATTCATAAACCTGCCTTTTGCGCCGGAGATATTCCCACTCGACAAATTTGGCAGAACACCGCTTCACACGGCTGCTGCTGTTGGTGCTCTAGGAGTGGTCGAGTTGCTATTGAAGACCGAGCCTTCCTCACTACTCCTCAAAGACGAAGGTCAAAATCTCCCACTTCATTTGTCTGCTTGCAATGGACATCTTGCCTGTACGCAACTCTTGACAGCCGCAGATATTATCAACGAGCGCAACAAATACGGCTGTACACCCCTCTGGCACGCCTGTAGAGGCGGACATGAAGACATCGTTGAATATCTTGTGGAACAGAATGCCGACATTGATCTGTGCGATATCGAGGGATGTTCCCCTGTTGGTATCGCTATTATACACGAGCAGGAACAAATTGCGACCTCCCTCCTTGCTCGAGGGGCAGAATGCCAATCGCGGGGCCCCAACGGCGACACACCACTCCATAACGCCGCGGTCAAGGGAAGTCAAGCCAGCATCACGCACTTGATTAAGGCGGGATGTAATCCGTTGATACAGGACAATTATGGGGCGACTCCATTGATGAGATCGATGTTCGGCGGCTGGCCTGAAGCTGTCGCTTTGTTGCTTTCGGCAGCCCCGAAAGCTGCCCAGATTCGTGATCACCAAGGCCGAAGCTGCATGCATATCGCCACCCATCTACAGTCACCACAAATATTGGAGATGCTGCTTGTCGAAGATTATGGAAACCACCAATCAATAGACAATCTGGGATTCGACGCGATGTGTCATGCCGCAGAACGAGGAGCTGCTGTGATGATAGATATCTTATCCAAGTTCGGGGTTCCACTCAGCGGCGTTGCGGGCAATTCCTACAGCCCGCTGTGGTTGGCAGCGGCTAACGGGTGCTCAAATTTCCTCCGAGAATTCCTCAACCGCGAGATTGATCTTGAAGAAGATTTGAGGCGATGTTGTGGTCCTCGTGGCGCAGATGCACTCAATATCGCTGCTAAGAATGGGAACATGGAGGCGACTTACGTCCTGCTACAACTCGGCGCAGACCCAACGACAACAAATCGGTTGGGCCTATCTGCCATTGACTATGCTTGCAACTTTAATTTCCTTCAGTCATTACTCACGGCCTGGCTCCCGACACCTCGCTCTTTGCCTAGTAAGCCCCGGCTACAAGCTCTGCGGACGGCTATTATCGAAGATTGCAACAGGTTTACAAGTATGAATGTGAAGGATCTCACAAATCCAAATACCTGGAGTCTTTGGATAATCTTGCAAGACGAGCTAGCTCTTCTCAACTCGAGAACAAGTCGTCAGCAGTTACAACTCCTTGTCGCAATCCGTTTCCAGGCTGCTCCAGCCTTGGTTAACTGTTTTTACAGATGTGACTGGCGGCCGAACAAGGTATCTGGCAACCCTATCTTTCTGCATTTTGGAAAATCTCGTTTCCATACGCTCTGCAATCAGTGCCATCAAGATTATATGGGCTGTGTGGAGAGAGGCCAAACTCCCTTACTCAAGTTTTTCTTCAATGAATTGGAGAGGAGTACGATGCCTGTACTAGAAGTGATACAAGTCTCGTGGAATAAACAGCCTGACACGCTTCGGATGTGCCTGAATTCCTTGGAGTTTATCGCCGATTGGCTCGAAGCAATCACAGGTGCATATCCGAAGTGTGTCAAGGAGAGCAGGTTTTCCGCGCAATTTTATCCTTTCACTCTCCCTGGATGGAGTTTGACCGAAGTCCTCAAGCGAGTTCAGGTGTCCGAACTATATCGATATAGGACGAGAGGCGATTCCAAAGCGAAATTGAGAAAATGGCGAGTCTTCAACAGCAACCTCAAACAAGATCTTTCTCAGCTCATTCCACTTCAAAGCCCATACAGCGAAACTCCTCATGTTTACCAACCGGGGGATAGCTATATCGGAATCAACGAAACGGGTGCCTCGCCACTCGAAACCCAAAATTACTTTGATGAGCAAGGTCAATTATGCAATACTATTTTCAAAGAAATATCAGAACATTATACAGGCCTAGATTTGAACACCATGGACGAGATTACTGATATGGACTCAGGGTCACTTCCTTCAAATGAAGCAAAATCGCCGGCTGTGTCATCGAGTCAAGAATTCGAATCTGATGTGCCGTTTGAAGCCGAATTCGGAATAATGCGAAGGGTTTTAGGGCATGACACCACGAAATTCCTAGCAATCTTCATACCAACTGGTCAAAGAGAATCCATTCTTCGCGATAGTGCTGAAGAACTTCTGACGAAATTGTCGTTTGTCTACCTAAAACGCCAGCGGTTGCGTGAAGAAAGTGCGGAATTCAAAAAGACAAACAATCAGATCGAGGCATACGAGCTTTCATGGAGGCTTCTTCATGCAATACTCAACATTGAATATACACAGCCGGTTTGGGACTTTTGGCACGAAAGGGTCTCTCGTGAGAATGCGGAGGTAATACAGGATCCAGGTAGCAGTCAACAGACAGAAAAAGCTGAGCAAGCTTTGGGGCAAAAAGCTGGGTGGTATCCAAGGCTGGCTTCCACATATGTTGCCCCTAGGTCTAGTTGAACTTTGATCGTAATTCTATGCATACCTTCCGCATCACGCTTGCATCTTCACGCCTTCGTTCTCTTTAGATTCCCTTGTTATGTGAGAATCGCAATCGTGTTTGGAGCTGTTTTTGGTAGCTAATTGATGCACATGGACTAACGGTTTGCTTATCCTCCTTCGTAAAAGCCATATACAGATGTGATTCGGGAGGGATAACCTGTATCATTCCTGATGGCCCGGTAGCTTCGCTATGGCTGAGAATTGACTGGAAGATGAACGCAGGACGTCCGACATAAGAATCCTGAGTGGAGCGACAGACCTGCTCCAACTTTTCACGGCCAGTATAACTTCTTATGGCAGTTGCTTTGAGTTTAATCGGATTTATTCTCAACATGCCGAAACACCGCACTTCACCTCTCAACTATCCTCAGCCGCACATGGTTCTTGATCGGTTTATGAGTCACGACATCCTTGCCCTCATATCCGGAAAGGGCACCCGGACACTTGAGTATCTCAAAGTTCCACACAATCAAACTGACGAGGATCCGCAGCTCCACGTACGCAAGCCTCCTTCCAAAACAACTCCGTCTGCCCTGGCCAAAGGCAATTTGAGGCCCAGCTGTAGAGTTGAACTCTAGCCTTCTACCCTCATCTGTTGATACACTGTAGACATCTTGCTTCTCCAGGGGGCCTGCGGAAGTCAGCCATCGTTCAGGCTTGAAATCGGCGATGTCCGCAGGATCCCATTCTGGTACCCTTCCTCTATTCTTGACTGCAGTTCGGCATGTCTCATTCCGCCTCCTCTCGTCGATCTCATACGCCGGCTTACGGAGACTTGCTCCCTGCGTGAGACAAAAGATTTGGGTGCCTTTAGAAATGGGGTAACCGAGCAGGACAGTATCGCAAAGAGCTTCTCGTTCCACCAATGGTGCAGTACCGGCACAACGAAGAATCTCTTCCATCGTGGCGTCAAGATAGGGAACTTTGATCCGCATAATTTCCTCTACTGAAGGTGTTCTTGCCTCTCTTGACGCTTCTTTGTATCCTGATTCCATGCAGGTACGAAGTCTCGACTGAACGGTCGGGTGGTCTGCTAGCAATTTGAGGCCCCATAGCATGGTCGTGCTGGTTGTATCGTGGCCTCCAGTAAGGATTCCGAATAACTAGTTATCAAGGTCAGCGCGATTTTTAGAGATCCTGAACGGTGCATATCTACCTCGTCTCTCATTGTAGGCGAAAGGAAGTCAGGCACCCTCCCGTCATCTTGAGCTATTTTTCTTTCTCTTTGCACCATCAGGTCCACTGCCGACCGCATCCACGTGTCGTTATCGCTGTTTTCCAGCTGCCTAGACGTCGCCTTGTTTAGTTCTCCCACAATGAACTTGTTCTTAAGCCTCATCGTCCGGCTGACCGGCGGAAACTTCTCTATAATCTTCCACTTGAGGACGGGCCAGGGTGAGCCATGTAACCGTTCAATGGCGATGGTGACATCAAGGATGGTGGATAGAACCTCGTCGCATTCCACTGAAGGAAACTCAATCGGATCGTCGATGGTTCCGGAGGTTCTCAGCTCGTTCAATTGGGCACTATTGAGGCCTCGAATAAGATCTGCTAAAGGTTTTGTAGCGTTGTGTGGGAAATCGCCGCCAAACGAAAAGGCTGTAACGGCATCCAAAGCTGCGTAGAAGATATCTTCGGACACGTCAAATGGTCTCCCGTCAGCTATGCGCGTCTTGTGTCGCCAAAGGTCGATCAGATTCATCACGTTCGAGTAGATGGCTGGTGCCGCGATGTCTTGTAAAAAGGGGGGCGACATGAGATCTTGCAATAGTCGTCGATGCGCTTTCCACTCGTCCCCGAGTTCCAGAGTAATTTGGTGGTTCGGCGTAGGACCTTTGAAAATGTTCTTGATGATTCGTCCGCGATCGAAATCCTTCCGCCGCATACAGAGATCCTGCATCTCGCGGAAGTCACTCAGTATCACCACGGGTGGCGACATGGGACGAAGGAAGATCTGGCATACTGGCGAGTCGTGCTGGTCCGCCTGACGTTGCAACCAAGTAGCCAGGTCGCCCGTCTTCAAAACCTCGCTGGCGAGCTCTGGTAGGTCACCGAGGATTCGGCCGAGGGCTTTTGGGTTATACGGGATGCCGGGGATAGGCTTCGGCAGGGCTTTCCGATAGAGTCTGTACAAGAGGTAAACGGAAAGTATGCCCGTGAACAGTAGGAAACCATAGGCTTTGCGTGGAGAGATCGTCTCCCTCATGAGATGAGCCGTGTCAGATGAAGTTACGAAAGGCATTGTGGCTATGGTTCTTCCAGAAGAATGGCTGCACGAACGCCAAAGTGCCAAACCGGCGTGGGAAGAACCGACAGTTTATACGTGACGTCGCGAAAGTCAGTTTGTCACAGATGGTAATGCCCAAAGAGGCACGCTGTAGTCATTCGGGTTTGAGGACTCGAACTCCTTATGCAGACTCCCGAAGGAACCCAATTTGTCGGGTCTGGGAGTTACCGCAAACGGCATTCGCTGTGGTGATGGAAAGTTGGTAACTAGAAGCGGTTCCCCACGTGCCATGGAAGCTTCCCACCATTGTGCTACGACGTGGATTCCTAAAAAGGTAACTAGCTCATTGCGAGCAGTCTTAGCCGTCAGCTCTATGGGGTGACACTCAGACCACCACCTCCACCACTTAACTACTGGAAGTTGAGGGCAATCGACGAATCTGTAGCAACGATGCTTTATGAGCCTCGAGAGTACGGCCACCATAAGCCTCGTTACACATGTGCAGCGACAAGAATACGCAAGACAGAGATCGATAACGACTAAATGGCAGGTCGTCTGCACAAGGTTTAGCTATGGTTGGTCCCGATGACCATATGTACTTTGGCCTGACGAATGAGTGAGGCAATAATTATATTGGCGATTATGAATATTGTATGTAAGATGATGTTTAGAATCGTTGCTTGAAAAGGTTGAGCTGTTCAAATGCTAAAGTGCCAAGCATGCGGTGAGTGATTGATCTGCTTGTAAGTGCACGTTCACCCCAGAGTTCCACGTACAATCGGGCACCTGAATGCAGGTCAGTTGACGGATGCACATCAGCGACCGAGGGAGTGGCAAGAGTCAATTTCAGGATGGAATAGGTCATCATTGCTTGTTCACAAATCTCCCAAATGGTGTCAGTCAGTATCGGCAACGCAGAATTCGTGTGATCACTTGAGAGGAGACTTCCGGGGATGCAGAGGGGCGAACTGAGGAACTCGGATGAGCATCATCATCAGGTCGAATGATTGAAAAGCAACGGCACTCCAGTAGTATATGGAGCATATTCGGGTCCGATTGGGCATCGCAGCGCTGTTGTTTCTAGCAAGTTCATCCGCCCGCGAAAACGAAGTTCAATTCCTCACTCTCGCAACACTTGCCAGAAAGGAGTCGGACAGAAATAGTGATCTATGTCTTTACCAATAGAGTGAGATGTGCTCGACAAAACTGGTAACTGGTGATTTAAGAACCCGCAGAAACTCTGTTCGGTAGAGTTTCGGTGGCGGTGGTGACCACAGGAGCCGAGGGGTTCACCGAGACCGCCGAAAACATGTTCACAAAGGCCTCTCGTCTCTGATAAGCTTTCTCCTTGGAGGTTGCTCCGATAGGTGACCCCCATGTCACTGTCAAAGTTCATTCAAGAATCAGTAGGTCGGCTCCGATAAGTCATCATCCGGCCGGTTGTGTCGCCCAAAATTCAAAGTCTGAAGGTTATCAAGTATCGTAAGACTTACATCCATAGGTGCAGGGATGCGTATAGTAAAAAAACAGCAATCTGAGGAATGCGCCGACTCGATCAGATATTCTGGGAGTCTGGAGTTTCCGTCAAGCAGCTCACGGGGCCGAATCACCGTAGCGTCCTAGTCAACCAGTCACTGGATCCGCTACCAATCCAAACACTCCTAACCTACTCATCTTGTCAACCTTTTTACATATTAACTACGACTGCTAAGTTCTGGAGGAAGACATTCAATGTGACGGGTTACAATCTCGAACTCTTGAGCATGATTGCCAAACGAGTAAGCAGATATCTTAAACATTGCTCACCTGTCAAAAGCTTCAGAGTCATAGGCATACTCTAGAGGTCTCCTCACTGTTACCTAGATGATAGACAAATAACCAGCACATTCCAATATTTCGCAACTTTTTAACTGAAACCAATACAATTAGGCCGACCGCTTTAGTGCCCAGCACCTCCGTGGCCCCCTCCTATCCACATTTGGGCATGATCCACATAGCACTCTGTTCCACTATGAGCATTACTTAGTCCGATATGGTGTAGTGGTCAAGTTGATGCCCTCTCATTCATGATTAGCAATTTGAGAGGATAGGCATAGCCCCGAATTCGATTGTCGGTTTCGGAAACGTGAACATGCGTATTGCGCGGTTTCGCTTTGGATCAGCATTTTGTTCAGAGCTGGCAATCCAGTCTCGTGCACCTTCTGCAAATGGGGACTCGCAACACCCTGTTCATTCTTTGTCTCTAATCTGTTTTCGAGTACTTTTCAAAGCTGATGGAGAGGAGATATCTGGTATTTTGGAAAACGATGTCACGGTCCTGCCTTATGTGGGACGTAGTCTGTTCGTAGTGAATGACTTTAAATATCACTTTCTCCGCCCTTTAATTGATATAGATTAAGCCATCTCCGGCGAAGACTCTCACAAGTTCCCATCAGTTTATCATCTATTTCCTCTGTGCTCATTCACAGGTCTAAAACTCATAATCCCGGCTTTTCCTGAACCTTTACTGGGTTTTGCGCCACCAAGATTGGAACAGATGGCCAGTGCTTATGGCTGTTCCATGTCCTGTACGGTCCACACCTCTAGGCTGCCGGACCGCTGCCTAGCGCGTCCCTGCTTTGCACCCTTGTCAAGCCAGATGATAATTAGAGGCAAAACCAGCGTACGGAGTCCTACTTCCATCCAAAGAACCAATTCTCTAGACACTCTTCCGACCTCGACGAATCTTGACTTTCGCGATACCTATGCAACTTAAGGAAATACCCAATGAGATCCTCAATATGATCATCGGGCAACTATTCCGACTGAAAAGTCCCAGGGGCCCCGCGAATATTCGTGAAGTTCGCAAGCACCTTCTCCCCGCTCGCCTCGTTTGCCGACGATGGAATTGTATTGCGACTGAACACCTGTATCAAACCCTGGAGCTGACACACACTGGAACCGTCAACGGCGACGAGACTGGGTTTGAAGGCTGGAACAAGACTCTCGATATCGAAGCCGCTAGGAATGCTGCTGAACGCGTCATCATCCAGAGCTGCTCCGAGAAATCAAGGCAATTTGGGGACTGGGAAAACTGGAAGAATGGAGAGTATGATGCTTTCACATCAGCCATTAAACGGATCAAACAGTTGCCAAACATCAGAGCTATCGAACTGCACTTCAGCGAGAAATGCAAAGGCCGGTGGTCCAATCTTCATAACCCGTGGAACGACGTTGAGCCTAGCGAGACCCGACTAGACACACTCAAGGCAGTTTTCGAGGCCATTCGGGAACGTGCAGTTCAGCCTAATACCGAAGTCAGCACAATTCAGTCCTTGACGATTCATAACCTCCAAAACATGCCGCATCAAGAATTCGTCAACTCTGGTCTTTTCAAAGACGTCGCCAAGGACATCGATCGTCTTCACCTGTTGATCACAGAGGAGTATAATGAAGACGGCCCAGACCGCGACATATTGATGGAAGAGCGCCTGGAGTTTGAGAGCCATCTGCAGCGACAGTTTCTTCCTTGCTTCGCGGTCAATCTCACCGCTCTGACCTTGAACTTCCACGAGTGTTGGGGCACCATGCCGGGATACTTCGACGGGGCAGGCCTAGTGTTCCCTCGCCTAAAGACGCTGAACCTGGGAAACTTCGTCATCAGCAACAACCGTCATTTTGACTGGGTTCTCTCACAGAAATCGCTTGAAACATTGCGTCTGGGCAGCTGTTATATTGTTTCTCACATTCAGGTTGACACCGAGGAAACCAAGGAGTGGGATCTTCACAGGGAAGATTGGCAGCGTCTGCCCAAAGGCTCGTACGGCATATTTTATGACAATGCCGAACTCCACAGGTTCGATGGCACGTGGGAGTCTACTTTCGATAAGATCCGGAACAACCTTCCCCACCTCAAGGACTTTCGCTTTGATAGGCAGTCTTACAGACTTCACTTTCTCCATCCTACGAGGATCGGCACCGTGCTGCACCCGAGTCGATACATCAACTTCGACGCAGGAACCGGTCCTAGTCCATGGTTGACTTCAGATAGTGAGACTGGTGAGATGTACTTTGGAGATTACGAGTATTCTATGAACCGTTCCGAAGAAACAAAGCAGGGCGACGCCAGAGCGTTCAGAGATCTTCTCAGTGCCTGCCATGAGAGGCATGAGTAGTGTAAGGTAGAAGTGACGGCGGGGCGATACCTACCTTACATCGTGCTGAATTTAGAGCAGACAACAGATGCAACAAATTGGAAGGATCACATGAAGACTTAAAACTTTCCATAGCGTACCTAGATTGATGTGGGTTACAGGGCTCTAAGTGCTGTCCTTTTTCGATCCAAATACACGCTGTTACATATGCAGAAGCAAAATTCGCAACATGAATTGCATGGTTGTCACAAACACCACCATCTAGCTTAGCTGTACCAAACAACATTGGCCGGTCCCGATGCCAGTGCCAGGTGCGCGACAGCTGCCGCAGTCGTGGATGAGCCAGAAGCGTCGATCTTCCAGACTTCCAGGAAATTCGAGCCGCTGTCCGTAATGGCAAAGTAATCCTCGCTGAACTTGGCGGGGGAGACGGCATTGGCGGAGCCACCGCTGTTCGTCGTGGGAGTGAGGAACAGCTGCTCGGTAATGGCACCGGTGGTACTATCGAGAGAAAAAGCGGAAACGTAGCCCGGAACGCCAACGGTGCGGGAGCGGGTGGCAGCAATGAGGTACTTGGGTGCAGTAGCGCTGGCGTTGCTGCTGGGAATGGAGAACATGACTTCGTCGGCCCAGTATGACGACGTGTTGGTGTATCCTGAAGAAATGTTACTTATTGGCTCCAACAGTACTTTTTGTTTAGCACATACCTGAGGGCAGGAGAGAGTAGGTGGTGTTGGTGAAAGTCAGCTTGCCGGTAGTCGTGTCGCGCTTGTAAGACGCGATGGAATTGGCCTCCTCATAGACGACATAGACCCAGTTACCATTGGGGTGCACAGTCAAGTGTCTGGGGTTGGATCCCTCGGCTGCGGCAAGGTACTGAACTTCTGTAACCTCTCCAGTGGTGTTGTCATAGGAGTGTGCCCAGACGGCGTTGCCCATGTCATCGGCGGAGTAGATGAAATCGTTGTTAGGGCTCATCCATGTTCCGTGGACACCTCCGGCGCTGTCATATGTGACATTCGCAGTGGCTTCCTGAAGCACACCAGCGTCATCGACGGTGATGGCCAGGCTTGAGCAGCCACCTCCATAGGGAGTCCCGAAAACAGTGTAGGGAGAGGCAGAGGAAGACGTGATGTAGTTGGCGTTGCTACCTGTTCACTGTAAGCAACATGCTCATCTCAAGACGTTCCACTTCGGGGGTGCTCACAGTCTGAAGACAAGCTGACGTTGCTGCTGTATGTCAAGCTGAGGTCGTCTGTGATGGCATAGCTCTGAAAGTAGCCAGTCGTACCGACATACAGGTTCTTCAGGCGGGACTATCGTCAAGTTGTCAGCATCCGGCCTGGTTGTCGCATTCTCAGGCATTCTTACATCGATGTGAATCCACTTGGAGCCCGAGCTCGCGTCTGTGCTGATATTGTTCTTCAAAGTGAGCGACTCTGTCTGGTCATCGAATTCGACACCGACGATAGTGCTGCCAGAAAAGAAGCCCGAGAAGAAGTAATGACTGTCGGCTAAAGCCGGAGCAGCGGCTGCCGCGAACGAAAGTAATTGGAACGAGCGCATGTTGTTGGGCTTTGGCAGATCTGCAGATGGGATGAACAGGCATGGAAAGGCAACTACAGACGAGACTGGTACTTGGCATATTTAAACATCAATTTGTAGAAACGCCTTTACAGCTAAGATGACGACTCCCGAAGGCCTCTTTTCCGCCGGCGGGAGACTGTCCACATCACGAAGATGCTAAGCCCCATATCAGGGGGCCGTTGCGCGGCTCAATAAAGTATACCAAGCTTTTTGTCATGGGGGACGTATGCCCAGGGGTCAGCAAATACCGCTATGGAGTATGGAGAACAGCAGCCAGTGGCGGTGGAGAAACAACATGGAGTTATGGACAAAGGGTTGACGTTTGTAGCGGTAAAGAAGGCCTCGCGTTCTCTGCAAATGCCAAGAATAGTTTCAGAGTGTGGCTCAATACCAGAGCTGACGAAATTCAAGGGGCCGGTCCTACCGTCCTATGAGCGACTACGCCTATGTTCTGACAGGCGCACGCGTAATCCCGAAAAGTCGGCCAAGCCGTATTCAGTAAAAGTCGGGTCGGGATCTCCATTTTTGATGGGGGAGAAATTCGTCCCGCGGCTAGGCAATGCTTGTTTCAATCTAAGTGCCGCTGGTGGACGAGTCCGGGCTCAATGTTTTCCCTAATTTGTTAGAGTTCATCCTGTGTACTGCCCACATCCCGTGCCACGGCTCTGGTAATAATTGTCCGGCGGGATCCACGGAGCTGACCCCTACAGAAAGCCGGAAGTGCCGACTTTAGATCATCTCCAGAGAACCTGCTAGCTACTCATTCAGGATGTATTCGAACCGATCTAAAGATTGGAAGGGCATTTATGCCGCCTCGCCTCCTGTCATAGTCAAACTCATCTTGAGTAAAAACCTTTTGTCTATTAAATAAGGTCTAAGTGCGACGTGCGGACATTCATGATATCAACCATGCCTTTACTTCAGCGTCTCGGCTCTCCTCTTAGTAATATTACATGTCAATCCCGTATTGATAACAAGCACTTGGCAGCTCCATTTTACTATTCCGATCCCGTTGGAAAGAACTCAAGATCGGCGCACTTCGTTCAGCTCATCCTCTACAGGCTAAATACTGACTCTTTAGTTTCCAGGCCGCCTGGATGAGGAATCCAGGAAATCTTCAGGTGAACGAACGACTAGAATGCTATCATTTCTTTCGGTTTGACTGCAATTTCCAACCGAAAGATTTGAAAAGTCATAACCGAATGTCGGTTCAATAGCTAGCTCGACCATCCACGCTGATGCCTTCGAAAACCTTGAACGAACCAGGCTCTACCGGCTTCAGTAACCATTGATTCAAGGCCACCTGGAATCAACGCGCAAAAAGTGGAAATACCCCCACGGATTGAACGTGACAATCGATATGATACCTCAAAACTTGGCATTTTCCCACGTCTCAGGTTAGTAAAGATCGCTACCAAAAGCCTTGCTTGATATAAGTCCCGTAGGATCGGACAGCCTCATTATGTTGGTCGAGGCACACCAACTCTCAATTGTGCATAGCGATTCGTCGAATCAATAAGATGAGCATGCGCGTTGCAATATTTCGGCTAGCAACATGCTGCATAATCATGGATCAAGCAGCAATATTGCATGCAATAAGGTCCATCCGAAGTGAAAGTGCACTTTTGTCAGCCTGGTTTTGGTTTACCCCTGTTATGCAGTGAGCCCGATCCGCCATGCCGCTCGCCATCGTCGTTGGATTTCTTCTTCTTAAAGTCCAACATCTGGGTATCCCCAATCCGTTTGATGGCCATGAGCTTCTTCCTAAGCCTTGAACATCTGATAGGGCAATGGAGGAGTGCATGTTCAAAAAGCACTTGGCGAAATGTCGCCATGTCACTGAAGCAACGACTTATCTCACGCTCTACAACTACACAGCAAGTCCCTGTCCCCATTGATTCGCTTTCTTGCAACAATATCCTGACCGTTCTGGCATGACTTAGGATCCATCTTTGAACGCGTTGAGAGAAGGAGATTTGACTCTTGACAACCTTAATGACTTTATATACGAGCAGGTGAGACTTTTAACCCCCTTTAATTCTCTGACTACTCTTACCAGCCATCCTTTTGCTACAAAAAGATTCCTTAGCACTAAAGACTATCGAAGGGCGAGTTCCATCCACCGGTCGTAGAAGAAGAAAGCAAACTTTCGAGCAAGCTTCGTTTAATGTCAGGACAGACTTCGAATGGCGAATGCCACAGTGACTGACATTTCGAGATAGCATTCAGAAAGATGCCAAGGATTTGGAAACCTTCACACCGCTGAAGATTCCACTGCCACCAGCACATTATCAGCAAATGCTCAAATGCTTACGGCTCCCACTGCACGCCGTCGAATTGACCACCTTTCTTGGACCTCTCTTCTGGTACAGATATGTTCTTCTTGAAGACGATGATCCTCACCTTCGTAAGCATTCACGACCTTATACTCATAGCCTCAAAGCTCTGGACTCACTTCGTATTTAGAGATGGTCTTTGGAAAGCATGATAGCCGTAAGAAGACTGGAACCCGCGGCTGGGAACTGATTCTATCATATTCTTTCAAGCGGCGCGAGACCACAGGCTTCGTCAAATGGACACCTACCGCCGATATCGTTGAGTGCTTGTCCAATTTGCGAGATTGTGTTCTTGACATATGCCATCCACTTCTCATCCCCAGCATCATCATGTCTGATCTCGTAGCGACATCTGACGAAGTGAAACAACGAGAAGCCCGAACTAGCATTCGACAACTAGAAAAAGCAATCAGTGTCAATGACGATACAACAGGCTTTTACTACTCAAAGGACGGCACCATCGACTTGCGCACAGTCGCAAGTGATCTCACAGAACACCACAGAAGAATTCTTCATAGACCACCCAAACTTTACTCCAAGGTCATTGATGCTTTGGAAGCTGACACAGATTGCTTCTGGGCACATATCGACCCTACTGATAAGACCAAAGCGTTGGATCGGCTCCATGCGACTTTGAAGGACCGTTTTCATTGTCACAGAGTACGACTCGTCAGGTTGGAGAAATACGTTTCCATATCCGTGGAACGCTTGAATATCCAACGAAGCATGGTCAGAGATATACCTACGCATTATATACCTTTAGCTAGTAAGGGTCGCGAAACGTTTACTAACTAAAAGTACCTTAGGTTTCTTTCATTACGGCCGAAATTGCACAGAAGGATGCGAAATTGAACCTCAAGATAGCAGGAGATCAGAGAAAGATAGCTCATGCTAGTAAGAGCGATAGTCAGGCAATGAAGGCCCTTTCTCTTCTCGGTGCTGCTTTTCTGCCTGGCACATTCATCGCCTCCATTTTCAGCATGTCATTTTTCGACTTCCAGACTCGTTAGTATCAGCGCCCTTTTAATTGTTTCCGTATTGTTCAATACTGAGACTTTCATATGATAGAAGCTCATGTTTCGTCCAAGATTTGGATTTACTTCGCGTTTATGGTCCCGTTGACCACGGCAGTCCTTCTTGGTTGGCTCTTCTGGGATCATAAGCGAAGAAGATTGCAACACTTGACAAGGTCATCTTCCAATAACAGCGGCTCTGACACAGAGAAGGCAATCATGTTTGAAATATCCAAGAGAGCGTGAACAGACTCGGCAGTTGTGTTCACTAGCTTCTAAAGGTCGTTATTTTGTTTGCGGGCTGCGAGAAACATACCCTGGTTCAAAACCATTTGGGAATTTCCGCATCTTTTCGGTCGCATTTGTCCGATTTCTCCAATACAGCCACTCAGAATTTCAAGCCCACAGGTAGTTTACTCTGCGCCTCTCTTTGCGACTGAACGTAAACTTCAAGGTCATCATCAATCGAGACCCGGAGCCGAGAGTGGGGCTGGCGGGTAACTTCGGGCCCATATTGAAGTCGGAGCCGAGAAGGCCGGCTGGACTTTGCAAGTAAGCGATGGGGTCTTGCGCTGTACATGCCAGCTCGTGCTGCTTCTTCTGGTTGTAGGCATTGAACATTCGTTCACATCGGGACATGCCATAACAGTGGAGACTCGACGTAGTAGCATAGGGATGTTGCATGACTGGGACGCGCAGCAGTGGCGACGATAATGAAGCTACAGAAGGAATACCTTATCTCATCAAGGTTCCCCGTTACCTGCGAACAGATACGTCGTATCGAATCGAGCTAGTCGCCGAATTCTACGCAGCATGAATAGGAATATGGGGGGTTCAGTTACAGAGAAGGAGCTGAGAGTATTGGAATAATCTGCACATTGTCGGTGGGCTTGTAGGCTTGTTCGATCTTGGCGATGAAGACAACAGTCTAGCACAGCCACGATGATTTCATAACCGCGTATGCTGTCCGAGAGACAAGAGAAATCTCCACGCCTATCACATGGCACTGACCGCTTCACTTCTGTCTGCCCTGAGTAGAATATCTGACCTTTACGCAGTACAACCTGCCAGTTTTTGGGATAATACTCTACAACATTCTTATCTACAAGCCTGAAGAAGGTAAAGTCTTTGAATCGCCCAGTCCAGCTCGGCTGCCGATCATATTGGAGTCGACTTCCGAGGGTTGGCATGAATAGCGAACAGCAAGAGACGGACTTTGGGAATCTGCGCAGCTTTCGGACAAAAAACACCTTGGTTCATTGATTGAGATTCGGGCAACCAGATGTCGGAGAAGCAGAATTTCATCTTAATACCTTCAAATTTCCACAAGGAGTTGTTCTGGCAAGAATCTTTCCTGTTTCCCTACAGTGGCTATGAAAGACGGCTGCAAGGATCTATGCGGTCGTCCAATGGGAGGCCATTCTATGCTCGATTCACCTTGTATTAGGACAAGTGGGCCGTTGCCAAATGCAATACCGAGCGAACTACCGCGCTGATATGTTGAACTAAGCTTGGGTTGACATATGCTTAAATCCGGTGGGTACGGCCTCGGTCCGTTCTCAACCTCGATGGCACCATCACTATCAGTGGACAAATGATAGAATCACAACTTTGGACGTGTATCATTCGTCAACAAGAATAGCTACTGCTGCCGCGTCATGCCCATACGGAAGTTGCTATGCTCTGCAGATCATGAGCCTCAAGTTGACTTCCGAACCTCTGAGGACAAGAGCCGAATAGACCGAGGTTTGTTCGTTATTTAATCCAAATACTGCCTGGCTTGAGGGCTGAAAATGCAGTTCAATCACCATTGTCAGTTCCTTGACCTCGAGAAAACGTCTAAACTTGAACACTATGTCGCTTAGCTTTCTCAACAGCACCATGCGCGCTGCCGTCATGACGGGGCCGTATCAAGTTCATATTGATCAGTTCCCAGTACCACGCATCATCAATACGACTGGCGCAGTAGCTCGGTTCACAACTTCGGCGCTTTGTGGTTCAGACCTGAACCGTTATCATGGCTATATAGGAGGGGAGCCACCGTGTGCGCTGCGCCACGAAGCTAGTATGAACTTACTTCTCGGGCAAGAGTATGTCCTACTCAACCACATGAAAGCTAACAGTTATACAGTGGGATATATTGAGTTCATTGGTAGTGGTGCATCATATTTAGAGGTGGGACAATATGTCATCATTCCAGATGATGGCGCTACTGGACACATCGATATTGGAGTTGCGACTGAACCTCGCATGGGCCTAGCCTTCGGAGGTCTAAACGGAGGTCTCCAAGGTTGTAACTCGGATTCTCCTCAAACGTTTTGATTCTTCGTTACTAATGATGCTTGACCAGCTCCTTACGCCTGAGTACCGTTCGCCGACATGGCTCTTATCCCCGTCCCCTTGACCGCCGAGACCACCAACACCAGCATCGAACAAGACTACCTGACCGTTTCCGATGTCTTCTCCATCGGATGGATTGCTGTCACTAAATTGAATTTGAGCCTTACGACACTGTTGCTGTATTTGGCGCTGGTCCCGTGGGCCTGCTTGCTGCGTACTCCGCCATACTTCGCGGGGCATCTCGGGTGTACAGCATAGACCATGTCCCCATGAGACTTGAGAAGGCCGCATCCATCGGAGCCGTGCCCATCAACTCCATGGACAGTGATCCCGTACAGCAGATTCTCGCATACGAGCCCGGCGGTGTCATCCGAGCCGTCGACGCCGTCAGTATGGAAGCCATCACTGCCAACGGTACAATGCAGCAAAACATCGTGCTGAATCAGATGGTCGAACTCGTCGCTGCAGGGGGCGAAATTGGCCAGATTGGAATCTACCTGGCCCAAACAAACGCTGGTTTGGCTCCGAATGCAGAGAGAATCACGCCGGAAGCCTCGTTTCCCCTCACCCAGTTCTTTTCGAAGGGTATCAGATACGAAGGTGGTATCACAGATCCCGAGACTGTTGCTGGGGAGCTCGTCACCTTGATTTTCAGAGGTATGGCGAAACCAGGCTTCGTGGCTAGCGCATCTATCGGCATTGAGGAAGTCCCTACGTACTATGGGCGGTTGAGCAATCAACAGGAGCTCAAGGTATTCATCAAGTTCCCTTGAATAAGTAATGAACTCGATGACCGACTAGCCTGTATAAATGGGCTGAGTGCATCTGCAAGATATCCAAGCACCCTTTCTGGTCCTTGGGGTCACGGGTTGTATCCATCCTCTCGACATGTAGACTCAAAGAGTTTACTTGCGAGGAGTCGACGGGCTTTGCGGAAGCACAAGTTTCAAGAGCACGGTATATCTGACTAGACGTTGCTCTCACTAGGTAAACTTCAACTCCTTGTACATATTACGTAGTTGGAATAACTTGAGACTGGCTGCCTGTTCTCATCAAGACTTATCCATGACCAGATCCAAAATTGTAAGATTTGGCCCAGTCCATCTCTTCCCTTTGATGAACCATAGACCTACTGCAACCAGCAGGACGAAGACCATGACTGGTCCGCAATAATTCATGTTCTCTGCAGTTACAGGAATCGTCGAAGGGAAAGGTAGGAATACAATGACATAAAGGGTGTAGACCAAGGCAAACGAGTTGATATAAAGACCGAACCGACCAAGGTTCCACTCTCCTAGTTCGACACCTCCTTTGGAAGAGAAGCGAGCGTACAACATGCTGCTGATTGCGATCGCATAGCTGAGGTAGAGAGCCATGGATGAGAGGGAAGTGATAGCGCCGAAAGCAACGTAACTCGAACTTCCAATATTGAGAAGACAAAGAGCACAAACAATGAACACCGTGACGATAATGGCGCGAATCGGTACGCGGTGCTTTGGGTGGACGTATGCCAGATAAGCAGGCATGCCTCCGTCCCTGGACCAGGCCCAAGTGAGACGGGATACGGATGCGATGTTGGCCAAGTTGACGCTAAACGAGACGACGAAGAGGCTGGTGATCATGGCCGTCGTGGCGCCCTTGGAGCCGGTAATGCTGAGAAGAATGGTGAGAATAGGACTAGCCGAGTTGAGGGCGTCGTCGATTGAGCCCATTGAGACGAGAATGACGCAGACCATGATGAAGCCAAGGCATCCGTTCATAAAGATGGACCAGAACATGGCACGAGGGACCGCAGACTTGGCCTTTCGGATTTCCTCGCTCATGTGAATGGCACTGTCGAACCCTAGACAGATTGTCAGTCAAAACGTTGGATTATCTCTGGAAGATTGGCTCATACCGGTGAAACTCCAAACACAAGTCAACATGCCGAGATTCCAAGCAATGAAGTTATCCGTCCATCCAGACGCAATGCTGGTTTCCAAGAAGAAGCTGCTCGAGTGTCGAGTCCCCATCACGGCCAAAACCACAACAAAGACGACGAACAAGCAGACATGAAGAACTCCAGCCACAAGCTCAACCCACGGGATCACTCTAAAGCAGTACGTGTTCATCAAACCCTGAATAACGCACATAGCGATGACGAGCACCGAGGTGTGCCAACCTCCCGGCTCATAGTTGGGGTGATTCAGCTCAATCATAGACTCCAGGAGAATGATGGTGACGTTCGCAATGCCAGCAAGGAGCGACACATAACCAAACCACGTCGACCAACCCTGGATCCAGGTTGCGAAGCGCTTGACGCGTGCGGGTGCGAGGTGGAACGTCCAGTGGTACTGGGCACCGGCGACAGGTTGGATTGAGGCCATCTCGCCCAACGAAGCGGCTTGTGCGATGGCTCCGCAAAACACTATGACGAAGCTGAAGATGAATGTTTGAGGACCGCCGTTGTAGAGTGCAAAGTACATGTTTCTTGGGATGGAGTCAGACCAAGCACGGCCATGAATCTTTAGAGCGGATCGACAGTATACTTACGTGCACATGCCTTCCCATAAGGCCATGTAGGTCAACGAAAATGCGAAGAGCTGGGAGAAGGAGAACACTCTCCGCGTCCGCGTCTGGTTGTAGACTTCGGACCCATGTTTTGACTCGTTTGCGTCAATCTGACTGGCGTTTTTGGCGGCGGGCTGCAGCTCGATTGCTTCTGCGGGAGCCATGACGAGATGCTCGAGAGACCAATTGAGGCAGTGATAGAAGGGAAGTCAACAACAAGAAAGCGTTCTGAGTTTTCTTGATGTAAAAATGAGGATGAATGATATGCTTTCGATCCGCGGCATATGTAAGAGTCTCTTCAAGGAGTCGAGTTGGGGAAGATCAAAAGAGCCGGGCAGCACCTCCACAGCCTTGGCCAAATGCTGCACCATATGCACATAAATATCAGCAGGTGTAGCTACAGACGAGAGAAATGTGAGACAATGACCCCAGTAGCCGCAGTAAGCTTGCAGATGGATGGGCGACTCTGAACCTAGGGAAAGATTGGCGAAGGGAGTATCCGGATCATCTCCTTTGATGCAGCTACGGCTGGCGGTTGGAAATCAGTACCGACGAGGATTCAATCAAAATTCGGACTAGGTCCCGCTGAATATGCATGTTGAAGTAAACACTGCTTCCTCGATGGGAACTATTACCGACCAACAGGTGGCCTCCGCGGTGGGTTCGAGCCGGGGTTCCTGCATGCCGGGAGGGGTTCGACCACACGGACTCTACCCGTACCGTTCCCGGGGCTACTCGGCATCACCGAACCCTCCAAACTTTACAGTTGGATCGATCACATATGGTCTCTGCCGGTCAGATTCCGTTGTGGTCATCACTTCGTTAGTCGTGGGCTGAAGAATACCCGGGTACCAGGGTTACGCTGCTTTGCGCCCATGTATTCGTCACTTCTTTGTGCGATCTCCCAGCGCGACTCAGGGTGAAGGAATCGATATCCAAGGTACCTGCGGGTATTCTACCTCCGATCCTAGGTGAGTCTGGTCCGGATGTCTGAGCTCCTCTGCAGAGAATGTAACCCGACTCATTGATCGATCTCACAACGATGGTCTGGATGCTTGCATGTGGCTGGGGTCTAGGAACTGCTGTCTTCTGAGAGGCATGTGTCCGAGCCAATGAACGCAGTGAAGACTAATTGGGCATAATCAAGTTGGAGAGGAAACTTTGCCAGGTTACGCGCGGAAGCTTACTACTTTACGTGCCATTTCAAAAAGTACGCACTAGAGTCTGGATACGGGCACATGAAGTGTGATGTTTCCAATAGTCCCAACGAAGCCTGCCATGTTGATCTTAAGGACCAGACTCAAGATGAGTTCAATTTAACTGCTCGACATCTCATTTGGTCTTTTGACTCCACATCATATGTACCACGAAACTTCTCGTCATATCAGATGTTGGCCCACAGGCAAACTTCGCTTCCATCCTTGCAACACGTAACAGAACCACAATAGAAATTTCACCCCGCGCACACAGAGAGGGTTTTTTGAGAACCCGACGGAAGGACTCGAACTATGTAATAATCTCGAAGATTTGGTAGGCAGTCTGTCACCCTTCTTACGCACGAAAGAGAAGGCTCCGCCATGTGGGACTTCCAGGCACATGTGTTACCTGTACTTAGCAAGTGCACATGTATGTTTAACTCACTCAAGACACGACGGAGTTCACACACCAGCATGTTTGGGCCGAGCAACCCTACTTTAGATTCAGTGTTGGTTGATTTGCTCGACACATGGCACGGAGCTGCTGTGTAGATCTTCGCAAACTACTCCGGATTCTGATCAGAACGCCGGGCTGTTGGATTGATGATGAATTGCCCACACAATTACCATGGGCCTGTCTTCCCCCCCCCCCCCTCGTAGCTCATGGTGCTTATTGATTACAAAGTTCAAACACTCTGCAACCCCATCAAGGAAACAGTAAAACCACAAGGGGGAGGCTCAACTAAATCCTTTTAGCGAAGATCATGTCAATGGACCAGCCGAGTATGGCAGTCGACATTCAACCAGATCCCCCATTCTACGCATTGACGGAAGACGATCAAGCTGCGCTAGTCGTTGTTGCCTCGCTCATCTTCCTCGTTTACGCCATCGTCGGAATATCTTTGAAGCTTATCATTCGTCTCAACATCACCTCTTTGAAGAGCCACGATGTAATATTATTAGTCGCGACCGGATTACTTCTCTCACAGACAGTCTGCATCATCATTGCTTGCAACCACGGACTAGGCCATCATCAAGATATAGTAGAGCCTCATGATCTCGAGGCATTTCACAAGGTATGCAGTCATATAGCAAGAGCAGAAGTAGAGACGAAATTGACCAAAAGTCATAGTTCTTCTACGCTTCCTCCATACTCGCGATTGCGATTGTCGCTAGCACGAAGATTTCACTATGCCTCCTCATTCACTCCATCAATAATCACGGACGACTGAATCTTGCAAACAAAGTACTCTTCGGTGCCATCGTTGCTTGGGGCATCTCCGGAATAACGATGACGGCCTTTCAATGCTCCCTACCGCAGCCGTGGCTTGCCACTGCTGGTAAGAAGTGCCCAGGCCGAGAGGATATTTTCCTCTACAACGGCGTGATGGACATCTTTACGGATGTTTGTCTATGTCTGCTTCCCGTCGCTATGATGTGGAAAGTGCAGACTGCGTTGAAGAGAAAGACAATGGTTGTTGCCCTTTTCATCACGCGCATCATGTAAGTTGCTCCAATATTTCAATTCAGCGATGTATCAATTGACAAATCTTTCGCACAGCATTCCCATAATCACGATTCCGAGACTGATTCACACAAATATCATGGTAACAGACTACACTGACACGACATGGAACGCTGTACATCACATCATATGGTTACAAGTCTCGCTAGGCATGTCAATCCTCACAGCATGCATCCCAAGTCTGAAGGGAGTCATCGACAGCCTCCTCGGGGCCACCTCCGTGGCCGCCATTCAGGCACCTTACCATTTGTCCTTGTCAGGCAAAGACGGCGGTAGACTTCAACCAACGACTTGGCCGATCGATAGCGGGTCCAACACGAGACCGGGGTCTCATCTGGCGAGCGGCGCAGGAGATTCGAGGATCGCGAGGGCTGGTTTGGCTAGAGTACCCGAGTGGTCGGTCGGTCGCAAGGTCCACGGTTATGCAGAGAAAGTAGCTTTCGGCCGCAGTGAGAGTGTGAGGAAATTGACTGAAGATGGAGAGTTTGGGGCGTCTTCTGAT